ATGTAAAATAGCTAAAATGGTCATCTACAGTAACTTCAGCCAATACAGCCAGAAAAGTAACTTCAACCTTACCTTTTCTGCTTATTACACAATTCAACGCACGAAAGCAAAAGTTACGTGTTTGGTGAAAAAGTTGGCTGATAAGCTTGATAAGCCGATAAATAGTGTTACCAAACGGCCTCTAATACGGGGAGCATTATTGACTGAAATATGACATTTGTACACAAAATTAGTACACAAATTATACATAATCTCCCTAGTTACTCATGCACGGGGACGGATCTAGGATTTCGACTCAAGAGGGATGAAATTTTTTTCGTTAGTGTAGTGGGTGATTTTTTTTGCTAGTGTAGTGAAGCGAAACTTTTTTCGCTAGTGTAGTAGGACGATTTTTTTCAATAGTGTAGGGCTTTGCGGCTAATTTTTATTCAAAAGGAATTCATAGGTACATACATGATGACATTTAAATATATTACATTCAAAGTTTAGACAATGGAAAAATTTCTTTGACTTTATAATTGTAAGTGCTTTAGAAAAAAGTATTGATACATTAAAGCGTAAGAAATAGCAAATCAAAGAAAAATTATTTGAAAATAAAAGAGGATATATAACATTTTATCAAATTTCTGAAAATAAAGAGTTTAAAAGGTGCACAACCACCAATGATTTTTAAATAACTCTTGCCATGTTTAATCACATGAATCTTATCGGTACAAGGAATTGATTTTTGAATTGCAAATTTTGTTTATCAAGAAGGGTGTTCGTGACTCATGAGGAGTTTTGCTAATATTACAATACTATGTTTGAGATTATTATTTTAAAGTAACATTATATTGCTAATTCTTATATATGGTGCATATTAAATTTGTATTAATGCCTAAAATAAGTTAAACTTTATTATCTATTCAATAAATTATTTTTAAAAAATAAGAAGTAAATGGATTGCGTAATTTTAAATTCACCTCACATGATCTAAAATCTGATTTAACCAGCGTGTCTCGTATTTAATATTGTTTGATATTTTACAAAACTAGTACCAATTATCTAATAAATTAAAGATAATTAAACATTTCAAAACTATGATTTTTTATATAACATGTATCCTAAGTCTTAAACAATGAGTTGTTTTATTGTTTATTTGTTTGAGTTATGTAAATTATTTTAGATGTTTCATCTTTTACTCTCCAATTAAGCATTACATAATGTATGGGTATATATTAATTTTGAAAACTGAAAGTTAAGGGGGGCGAACATATATATATCTAATTAAAGTACAAAAATTTTATGAAAATATTACATATATAGTAGAAAAATTTGAAAAACCAAGGTGGTGACCCCCCTAAATCCATCTCTGCTTTTGCACACATGCAATTCGTTTGAAAAAGGACATGATTTTATGCCAAAATGTCAGTGTACACAAACAATGTATAATTTGTGTAAAAATATCATGTACAACAAAAATTACTCTTTTTGATAATACAACTACGTACTACCTCCATCTCAATTTGGAATAATTCAAAAAAGGTAGAACTATAAAAGTGGGTAGGAGGGAGTAATAAGTTACTTTATGACTAAAATCAGACACATTAAGAAAGCTTATTTTGCTGTAAAAAAAGAAACCTTATTTCAATTATAATAGGCTTATCCCGTTTACCATGATTTCGGCTTTGTTTTCACCCAATACTCCTTCCGTCCCGGATAGAACTTGACGTTGCTTTTGGTACAGTATTTAAGGAACTCAATTAATAGAAGACCAAATGTATTGCATGCTCCTTGACTTTTGGGGGGAACAAATGCTATCCACTCAAATGTAAAATGTAGATGAATAGTGAAATGTAGTTACATTTAATGTAAAAGGAGTTACCTAAAAAAGAAACGTAAAGGAGTAAATGAGACGTCTTAAAAGGAAAGTGTATAGATTTAAATGAGACGGAGGGAGTATGTAGTTTATGTACTAAGAGCACCTTCAATGCTACAATGTGCACGGTGCACATTGACATGAGAGATATAGATACAAAAGATTAAAATTATGACATTTCTCTCTCCTTATGTGTTTTTGGTAAATTTTTCTTAGCAATGTCAACCACAATGTCTACATCTAGACATTGTGGAGAAAATTTACCAAAAACACATAAGACCGTTCAAATAAGGAGAGAGAAATATTCTATTTGTTATTTTTTAATTGAATATCTTTCATGTCACGTATGCACCGTCCACATATTTGCATTGGAGATGCTCTAAACCACGTTTGTGATGGATATTTTGCCTTCAATTTCTTATTGGATATTCACATTTGCGATTCTAGTCAATCACATATTCACAAATAATAAATCATATTCATGATTTTTGCCAAAAAAAATCATTTTCATGATTGAAGAGTCATTTGATAATATTTATATTTGTTGAATCAGTTGATTCTGCTGAAATTTATGAAAGTCTGTTTAGTTTAGCTAATTTTTTTTATTTATGACAAAATTATATTCAATATATATTTTATTAATAAAACAAAGAAATATATATATATTAAAATAAGCTAAAATGATCATTTACGATTACTTCAGTCAATTCAACTAGAAAATCAACTCTACCTTTGTTATTTTGGTAATTTACACAATTCAACACGCTGAATTAAAAGTTACATGTTTAGTGAAAAAATTGACTGACAAATCGAAAAGTAGAGTCAAATGACTCTAAATGTCATATAAAGGCCGTGATATAAACAATACAACTTTGGGTGAAATTGATATAGTTAAATTTTCATTTTCAAATTAATTACTCTGTAACAAAGTTACTAAGAGCATCTTTGTTGAGTTTTTTTGGAGATCAGTTTGATTATGCGGAAGATCTTTATTGGGACGATCATTGAGAAGATGAGACTATTTAGGGGAAAATCGGAAATCAAATTTTGAATTTAGATTAATTTGAGATTATTTTCAACCTTTTCATTTTCCAAGTCTTTGAAATTTGTGATGTAACTACTTGCCCTCGGCTCGCACCTTGGGTTACCTAGGTTGCGAGAGTTTTTTGTCAACAATTCCGTCTGGCATCGGAAGTGGGCCAAACAAATTTTGGTTGATCGCAGGAGTACATCCGGGGAAAAGTAGTGGTGATCGAAAGAGATCACTCATTGGAATATCTGCGGCCGTCTCCCTTGAATAAGGGTTCCAGTTTTTGCCGTCCTGTGTGCGGCATTTAGATTTAGTCGTCTTTTGGAGCGACGGTTAGGTTTGCAGAGAAGGAATTGTTCGCAGAAATATCGCTAGGCGTGCTGTGGCGGCCGATGGAGAAGGAGTTGCGGGAGCTAAGGGAGGGAGAAAGAGAGGCATCCAGAGGGGCTGAAATTGCGGGGCAGATGGAGGTTGCGCGTCAGGGATTCAATCGAGCGACTGGCGGGAGTTGTGCCTTGTTTGTGTCAACAATCATTGTAACACCCCCAAATTTCCCACCCAAAAATACCTTTAAATAAAACATTATTTATTATCTTTATTTGAAAACATCAGAATTGTGCAGCGGAAATCAAAAGGGAAATAGGGTGTTACCGCCACACTCGGTTCTAACCTAACCGAGTGCACAGGCTAAAACAATTTAAACTCAAAATAGATTAAACTTCTAAAATAAATGTTCACTAATTTAAGATGCTGAAAATGTAATTACAATTATTTACTAATTTTGTGTTCTAGCGTAAGCTCTCTCGAAATCAACATCTTTATCAATTCATCACCTGTACAAAACAAGTACAGAAAGAAAAATAAAAGAAACAAACATTAGCAATAATGCTAAGTAAGTCTCACCTAACCTTTTAAAATATTAATAATAGTATATATATAAATTTGTACAACCATTAGTATAAAAATATATTCAAAACGCTTTATAAATCATAAGTAAACGATATCTTTACAAAATCCCAATCATATAACTCGTGAACCATAATAATTCCAAAATACATGAAACACCAAAATTTCTCCTCTATTGAATTTCTCCAAAAATCACTTTGTAACTAACTTCCTAGTAATTTAGAAGGGCGGTGCTCAACACTCTGGTTGAGCCCGGTGATCCGTTGTCATGTACGGCCACCCCGGAAATATCGCCGGTACCACAACTGCTCCTTGGAAACGGAAACAACTACTTTAAGGGTGCACACCCCCTAAAGGTATTCCAAGCCCTTCGGGTTAGTAAGTCGATCCGGGTAGCCGGGATGTTTTCTACCAACTACCCCACCTCAAAAACTGAATGATTAGGAGCTACTACTACCCCTACTACTCAAAAGCCGGAATGTTTTCTACCAACTGTCAATTCACCTCAAACCAAAACCAACAAAAAATTGAGTAGTAGTAGACCTAACCACCATCCACATTTTAAGGGATGTGGAAAACCAACACCACGAATTTCTCCCGTGATGCTCACCTTTTATGAAAATATTTATTTTTCTCAAAATCAATCGAAGTTTATACTTCAAAAATCCCCTTTTTGTCAAACTCCCACAAAGATAATAAATTACGTACTATTACAAAATCTCCCAAAATTATATATAATAACTCATCAACAAAACAATATATCAACTAATATCTCAAATACAACCCTTTCGTATAATAATATTCACTCAAATTCAGCACACATAAATTCAAGTCTCAAATATGCACACATAAATACTTAAAAGAAATCACGAAGAAAAAGAACTAATTTCGGTTGACGTGAAACTTACCTCAAATCACGATAATTCATAACCAAAACTTCTATCTCGATCTTCTCAAATTCACCTTCTAAGAATATTAAAAATCTAATATAAACATATATCAATTTTATAGTTAAATCCTTCTACCCTTTATTTATAAATTCCCCTTCTTATAATCAATATCTATAATAATCCATCATGATAATTTTTTTTTTAGTTATAGACATCCACCTATATTAAAGTTGTCCGCCCAGTAACGAAACAACCACCCGACCCAACTAACCTTTATTATTATTATTACTCCGTAGTATAAAATAATCAACTCAGCCCAGTTATTAACTAAAAGAAGGAACATACAATAGACTTACATAGTATAAACTACGTACAGAGCATCGTTCTTCTTGATGCCGGCGAACGCAGAACTACAAATTCCGATCGGAACAGCTACGGCAGCGGCAACATCGACTCTGTCTCCCGATGGTGATGGCGGCCTGTGATGGTGTCTCAGGAGGACTACGGTGGAAACAACAGTCTGGTTCTGCGGGACTTCTTCTTCTCCGGCGCTGTATCAGTAGCGGATCCGGCGCTGTATTAGTAGCGGCTCCGGCGAAGACAACGACACGACATTCAGTTTCCCCCTCCTCCGGCTTGTGTGGAAGTCGTCAGACGGTCGGTGCACAGTCCGGCATAGTACTCCAGCGTTGGTCCCTCGAAGAAAATCCCAGCAATGATTCTTCCTTCTCCGGCGGCGCAACTGGTTCTTTCTCCGGCGAATTTCCCCCCTTCTCTCACGTTCTCTTTTCTTCTTTTCTTTTTGCAACGCAGATGCAATCGTTCAGCAGTTTCAGTTTGGTGACGGCAACTGCGGCCTCTCTTCTTCCTCCGGCGTAGACCACACCGACGACGTTCATCCGTTTCTCTCCTTTCTTCCTATGTTTTGCGACACCGGCCGAAGATTTATGGAGAAGCTTCGTTGCTTTGGTGTTCCGTGATAGATGAAAAAGCAGGTGTTGCTTGTATATGCTGCAGGTGTGTTAGAAAATAGAAGAGGTTGTTGGTTGTATGAGTAGAATAAGTGATTTTAGTGAGGTGTAATGTAGATGATGTGTATTAGAGGAAAAGCTCTTGTCTCTAGAAAAGTAGCATTGTATTGATGTTTCTTGGTTTTGCTTGGTTTGCAAATGAGTACAATGACTCCTATTTATAGGAGCTAGAGGATCATTCTAGATCCTTATTAAATGCTATGATTCTAGAGTATTCTACATCTATGTCTAATTACTCTAGATTTTACATAAGAATTCTCTAGTAGAGAATTTTCTAGAATACTTTCTAGCTTTAACTCTCTAGACATCTCTAGCCTTTTCTACATAGAATATTCTAGATAAATGCATCACTATTTAATACTCCTCCTTGATGCATCTGTCAGTGACTCCAAGCATTCTTCGCAGAAACTGGAATCTGTCTCTTGGCAGGGCCTTCGTGAAAATATCTGCCAATTGTTCTTCTGTTGGGCAGTACTTCATCTCAATATGCCCCTTTGCTTGGACATCTCTCAAGAAGTGATACTTGATATCGATGTGCTTAGTACGATTGTGTTGAATTGGATTTTTAGCCATCACAATAGCTGACTTGTTGTCGCAAAATATTTGAGTCGCTGAACTTTGCAATTCTCCCATGTCTTCTAATATTCTTTTTAGCCATATAGCTTGGCACGCTGCTCCGGCTGCTGCAACATACTCGGCTTCGGCTGAAGATAGTGCAACAAAATCTTGCTTCTTTGATCCCCATGAGAAAATTCCCGAACCCAGCTTAAATGCGTAACCGGAGGTGCTTTTCATGTCATCTTGAGATCCAGCCCAATCACTGTCGCTATATCCAGTTAGTCGTGAGTCAGGAGTTGTTTTGTACCAAATACCATAATTGATGGTTCCTTGTAGATACCTAAGGAGTCTCTTTGCCGCTCCATAATGAGTCTCAGTTGGACTTTCCATGAACCTCGAGAGCAAACTTGTAGCATACATGATGTCCGGCCTCGTAGCCGTTAAGTAGAGTAGACTCCCAATCAAACTTCGGTAATTGGTTGCGTCCGTCTGCTTTGACCCATCTTCTTTCTTCAATTTTTCATTAGGAACCAGTGGAGTAACGACGGCTTTGCAGTCTTGCATTTTAAACTTCTTTAGCATGTCCTTAATATATTTTTCTTGAGATAAGAATATGCCTTCTTCTTCTTGACTTATCTCCATGCCAAGGAAGTAGTGCATTAATCCCAAGTCACTCATCTCAAAAGTGTTCATCATGTCTCTCTTAAATTCTTCAATTAATTTGGAATTATTTCCCGTGACAATTAGGTCATCAACATATAGAGAGACGATGAGAATGTCAGATTTACCTTGGGATTTGATGTATAGTGTAGCCTCGTTCTTACTCCTCCTGAACCCTTGACGGGTGAAGTATCCATCAATCTTGCTATACCACGCTCGTGGAGCTTGTTTGAGCCCGTAAAGCGCTTTCTTTAGACGAAGAACTTTTCCTTCTTCTTTGATGAATCCTTCTGGTTGCTCCACATACACTTCTTCTCGTAGCTCTCCATTTAGAAAGGCTGACTTGACGTCTAGCTGATAAATTTTCCATTTCTTCTGAGCAGAAAGAGCTATGAGTGTTCTTATTGTGTCCATCCGGGCAACTGGTGCAAACGTCTCTGTGTAGTCAACTCCCGGTATTTGAGCATAGCCCTTTGCAACCAGCCTTGCCTTATGCTTCTGAATTGAGCCATCGGGTTCAGTTTTGTTTTATACACCCATTTGACTCCAATAACCTCCTTGTTATGTGGAAGATCTACCATTTCCCAAGTATCATTCTTTTCTATCATTTTGATCTCCTCCTCCATTGCTTTAATCCAAATTTTTTCTTTGGAGGCTTCGGTGTAGCTATATGGCTCCAAGGAGCAAAAGTTGCATGTTTCATAGATGTCAGTAGACTCATATAGGTCTGCTAGAGTTCTTACCCGAAGAGGTGGGGACTCTGGTGAGGAGTCGTGATTTCTTGATGTATTAGCTTCAAAAGAGGATCTTGGAGTAGACGTGGGGCTTTGTTGATCGTGATTTTCCTCTTCTGGTATTTCCTCTAGTTGGACAGTAGTTGTCTTTCTTTCAACTTTTTCTGTCTCCCAATTCCAAGAGGCTTGCTCGTCAAACTCCACATCTCGACTTGTCACCAACTTCTTTGTCTCGAGATTGTAGATTCGATATCCCTTGGATTTGGAGCTATAGCCAAGGAAGATGCCCTTCTCTGTCTTGTCTTCTAATTTGTGCCTTTTAACAGAGGGAACATGAATGTAGCATATGCTTCCGAAGACCTTCAAATGTTTGGCTGAAGGCTTTTGTCCCGACCATGCCTCAATAGGTGTTTTGTTTAAAACCGCCTTAGTTGGACACCGGTTTAGAATATAGACTGAAGTATATACTGCCTCTGCCCAGAACGTTTTAGGCATTTCTTTTTCAGCTAACATAGACCTTGCCATCTCCATTACTGTGCGGTTCTTCCTTTCGGATACCCCATTTTGTTGTGGAGTGTATGCTACTGTTAGTTGATGCTCTACACCTTCATCTTCACAGAACTTGTCAAATTCTTTTGAGTTGTATTCGGTACCTCGATCGCTTCTCAACTTCTTGATTTGATGACCACTCTGTTTCTCCACGAAGTTCTTGAATCTCTTGAATATTCTAAAGACTTCGGATTTTTCTTGGAAAGAATACACCCATGTCATCCTAGAGTAATCATCGATGAAGAGTATGAAGTACCTGTTCTTCGAAACTGAAGGCGTGCGCATTGGACCGCAGACATCGGTGTGGACAAGCTCTAGTATCTGTTTGGCTCTCCATGTCTTTTCTGTTGGAAATGGTTGCCTGTGCTGCTTCCCAACCATACATCCTTCACATACTCCTTCTTTTTCATCCAGTAGAGGCATGTCTCTCATCATCTTCTTTTGGTGTAGTAATCTCAAGGCATTGAGATTGAAGTGCCCAAATCTTCGATGCCATAGACTCGTATCACTCAGTTGAGCCACCATCGCCTTTTGTGGATATTGCCATTGAATAGGAAAATTTCTATTATTTCCCATTTTTACTTCAGCAATTTCTTGATTATTATTCTTGTCATAAATTCGGCAAGAGTTTTTCTCAAAGTGCAAGGCATATCCACTTTCCATCATTTGGCCAACACTTAGTAGATTTTGTGCAAGGCGTGGCACTAGGAGAACGTTTCTAATAAAGCGCGTACCTTTCTTTGTATCTATGACAATGGTACCTTTCCCCTTTGCCTCCACCAAATCGCCATTGCCCATCTTGACCTTTGTCTTGATAGAGGTGTCTAAGTCATGGAAGATGGTCTCGTTGGATGTCATGTGATTGCTGCACCCACTATCGATGTACCACTCCTCTTCTTTTGCTTCTATGGCTGAGTGACATGCGTAGAACATGTACTCCTTCTCCTTAAAATCTTCAGAATAGTTGGCCTGATAGTTTCTTCTATCTCTGCAATCTTTTTCTTCATGTCCGAACCTCTTGCAATTTCTGCATTGTGCCTTTCCTCGATGGTAGCAATCTTTCTCTAAGTGATTAGTCTTCTTGCATATTTTGCATGGTGGAAAGTTCGTCTTCCTCTCCTTATTGTTAGAATTCCCATCTTTATGTGGTTTAAAGTTTTCACCATTTCTCGAGTGATTCCTTTTAATGTTGAGCTTAGACTGGAAGGCACTTTCTAATGAACTTTCGTGTCGTCTGTTCAGCCTTTGCTCACGTGCTTCTAGCGACCCCATTAATTCAGTGATGGACATTTTTGATAGATCTTTTGACTCCTCAATAGCCGAAACTACTGGATCATATTTTTCAGGGAGACTGATTAGGATCTTCTGGATTATTCTCTCGTCGGTTATGTTTTCTCCAAGAGTTCTCATTTCGTTGACTATATGTATAACCCGAGAGAAATAATCTTTTGCCATTTCAGAATCTCTCATCTTTAAATTTTCGAGCTCTCTTCTTAAACTTTGTAATTTAATAGTTCTAACTTTCTCATTCCCTTGAAATTCCTCCTTAAGAATATCCCAAGCTTCTTTTGCCGTAGTAGCACGAATTATTCTCGGGAAAATAGTATCACAAACGGATTGTTGAAGAAGATAGAGAGCTCTAGCATTTTGTTGTTTTTGTTTCTTACGTACCTCGGAAGTTGATGCGTCGTCGCTTCCTTTTTCCGGCATGATGATTCCTTCTTCAACAATATCCCATAGATCATGTGATTCTAGGCAAGTCTTCATACGGTCACTCCAATAGTCATAGCTTTCTCCATTGAACATCGGAGTTGATACCGAGAAGCTTGATGTCGCCATAATGTCCGCTTATGATCGAACAATCTCTGATACCACTTGTTAGAAAATAGAAGAGGTTGGTTGTATGAGTAGAATAAGTGATTTTAGTGAGGTGTAATGTAGATGATGTGTTTTAGAGGAAAGCTCTTGTCTCTAGAAAAGTAGTATTGTATTGATGTTTTTTGGTTTTGCTTGGTTTGCAAATGAGTACAATGACTCCTATTTATAGGAGCTAGAGGATCATTCTAGATCCTTATTAAATGCTATGATTCTAGAGTATTCTACATCTATGTCTAATTACTCTAGATTTTACATAAGAATTCTCTAGTAGAGAATTTTCTAGAATACTTTCTAGCTTTAACTCTCTAGACATCTCTAGCCTTTTCTACATAGAATATTCTAGATAAATGCATCACTATTTAATAAGGTGTAATCTTCCGTGTCGTATACGATGAATATATATGCTTGACCGATGTTTCTCGACTTAGGGTTTCGTAGTTAGAATGGATTTGGCCATCTGGTACGTTACAGATCTTAGGCTATATATATGAGTATAATAATAGTTATAAGTATTTTGAGTATAATATACTCCGTAGTTTTATATTAATGTAAAGTCTGGCATTAATATTATTATTATGCATAGTACGTGCCTTTAATAAGAGTATATTAACGCAGCTTCCTTATTTATACACATGTACGCATAGTAATTCTCTATTTAAATTCAATTCAATTGTAGCATACGGAGTAATATTAGTCGACACCCCATATAATTAGAATTTGCTCAAACGTCACTTTTATAATTTACATCATAAAATGCTACTCTTAATATTTATGTCAAAGTTTAATGTGAGAAAAAAATGTCACTTTTGTAATATGTTAAAGTTTTATCAAATTAACGTAATTATCTATTTTATATTATTTAAATTTTCGGAGTGTCACAATCATAGCGATGGTCCGGCCTCCTCCTGAACCGCCGTTAGTGGATGAACGAGGTGCTAGGGTTCAAGATACTTGTTTTGCTTATTTAGTTTTTTTCATGTTTCGTCCTCTTCCTATTAGTTTTAATTATTTTATCATTTGGTTTCTTGTTACCATCTATGTTGTTAGGTTTGTCAGTTTGTTTGGGAATTTAGCCTCCTTTTATGTCATTGGGTATGTTTGGATCTATAGGAACATAGATGGTTGTGTTAAGCCCGCTGCATGGTTAGCGATTCGTGTTGCTCTTTCAGGGGTGACCGTCTCTACGTCTCACCATAGGATCTACGGTCGTAGTTGTTGGAGTTTAATTGGTGTCAGATTTGTTTTTCTTTTGATTGATGTAATGATCCTGAAACTTATGATATGAATAGAGACAAGTTTTCGTTCAAAAAAAAACTACTTGCCCTCTACTTGATGTGAGAGTGCATTATACATGTCCCATAAAAAATCTTAGTAAATGGAGGTCATTGTTGAGCGGAAAGTAATAGATTATAAGATTATTTAAGCTTTTCATATGCGGCGTTGATACGACAACAATGATCGATAAAAATTAATTTATTTGAGTAGCATGAATGAAGGCATTCTAATAGGTTTTAATATCTGGTACGAAAGACTTGGGAAGAGGAGTTCATATACTGCGGGAGCAACTCACCTTGAGCATCCTGGTCACAGGGTTTCTTTTTATTTTATTTTATAATTTCAGCATTAGATTGGTGTAACTCGTGTGTAATACAATGTAAATCACATTGATAAACAATGTAATTTGAGTCAAGTTGAAATGTAAGTTGTGTAAAAAAAAAGAAGTAAAACGTTGATTTCAATGTGAATAATGAAAAAAGGAGTCTAATTGCCCAATTATTATACATAAATAGTGCATATGTTTTTTAATATTAGGGCCATTAAAAATGATTTAAAAAACATTTTTGTTTGAATAACAGGGGCTTACTTTATTGTGTAACTCGCATTGTTTTGTGGTGTAACTTGTATTATGCCAAATGTAAATAACATGTAAGCAATATGTAATGAGAAAAATTGAAATGTAAATCGCGTATTACAAAATGTAACTTTAGCTAAAACGAAATGTAAGTCAGGTATATGTGAAATCTAACTCTTCAATATCAGCAAAGCAAACAAATAACAGACTAATTAATAAATAAACGTTTGCTTTCTTTGGATTAATTTGCTCCAATATGAATATCTAAAGCCCAACAATTGGATTAATTTGCTCTGTAAATGATATACCAAAGCATCCAAATTGATCAGCAGATAGCATACGGTTGCCATCTCCGTATAAGTTTTGATTTTTCTATGGGAGTTTCCAGATCTTCAAAACTATTTCATACTTGCTTATCTCTCTGGCCATCTCCATATACATCGCACAAGAAAAGGAATAAGTCTCCATTCGATGCTCTGTGATGGATATTTGGTCGTTTCTCTTCGTCTCGCAAACCGAAGCTAGCGATTGGGAAGTGGGAAAGGAAGGGGCTCACCGTCACTGGGAAATAAGAACGACGCTCTGCTTTATATTTTAAGTGCAAAATGACATCGTATGGGGATCAGCACACAGTATATTGGCGTTTAGGAAAATTCTTATTGAAAGAAAGAACATTATTTTTGTCTATAATTGCGAAAAAGTTGGGATGGTCCCATAGAGATTTGGATATGGACCGGTGTGATCAAATCCAAAAACAATTATATGGAGAAGTATTATTCACACTCCTTTTTTCCTACCTATAGCCTATACTTGTGCCATCGACCAAACTCTCTTGAAGGATAGAAAGCTATTGAGCTTATTTGACTTTGACTTTGGTCCAAATCGGTTGGATGATTCCACGGACAAACTGTGTGAATGAATGAAGAAAATTTGGTACTTCCACGAGTTTCATCTTTGACAATTAGTTACACGTGAATAGAAGTAAAAGTATCATTGTTCCACAAATTTACCAGGCCAAGTCGCCAAGACGTGGTGTGTAGAAGAAATTGTATGTATAGGAAAAACGTTTTCAAATTTTCAAAATTTTTCAACTGTCATTAAAATATCAAGAAAACAGTAAATTACTCTAATTTAATGAAAAAATATCATATCTATATCTCCGAGCTTTACATTATATTTACTCTTATTTCAGAAATTTTCTCTTTTTAGTAAAAAGATAAAATTTTCTAAACAAAAATAAAACATAGCAGAGTTCCTCAATTTCAAGTGTATTTTTAGAATGTGTAAATATAATAATTTCGTGCAAATAATGAAGCACAATGATTTATAGTTGGATTTAAAACCCAACTATATAAGCATGCGTACAAGCTCATAACGAAGGGCGTGATCTTGCTCAAGAAGTAAATGAAACTTTTTGATAGGTTAGTAAAAGAGCCCCTAAATAATTGTTGTTTGTGAGGAATGGAAGGAGATTATATTTGATTTAAAACTAGTAGATACCATGAAATGAAATGAAAAAAGAAAGATAATTGATTCAAGGACACATAATTGAATACACAATGCAATGCTCATATATTAGTTGAAGAGTTCTCAAAAACGCATGTAAAAAAATTGATATTGATTTGTAATTTAAGTTGAATAGAGGAGGAATAAAAGAAAAGTATTGGAATGTTTTTCGTAACTTGAAGATGATAAAGTAGAGAATTGAAGAAGAAAATAAAAAATTGAGAATTATATGTATGAACATAACTATCTACATTATATGTCAATCTCTTATATTTCATTGAAGGATATAGAATTATAATTCTATACGATAGTATTAGTTTATATTACAAAATACTCATGTTTTGTGTACTAGCTTCATGGCATGGATGGCATATCCATCAATCAGCATGAGGACATATAGATGAAAGGTCTCCTCATGGTTTTACACAGAAGGGAAGTATCTCGAAAGATTGCATGGCAATGAATAGAACTCTGCACTCCTTGGATCTCTGTTGAAGTACTTGAACTTTGACCACCACAACCTCCCACTGTCTTTCTTGCTCTCAGAATGTTTTCCTCCCAGCGTCACGTCCAAGAACATGGCCACCCCACCTGCCACCATTGCCGGGGAAGTGAAGACCACTTGCATCATTTTGTTAAACTGCAAATTCAGTTATAACTTAGTCAAGAAAATGATGACACCCCATCCCTATGGGCCTTCGGACAGTTATATTATAACTTAGTCGATAAGGCAAGAAAGTGCACTTAAGAATTGAATGACAAATCAGCAAATCCTAACACTTTAAATCTAGTAAAGAGTGTATTCTACTTCTAGTGATGTGAACTGTTGTAACTATACTACTTTTGGGCATCCAACTATAACTGTGACAAGATTTAAGGATAAGTATCAAATATGTAATGATAGATACCTCAATAACACAGTAGAAAATAGAATATTATTGATGAAAAATTCAGAGGTTGAACTGGATTACAATGGCGTAGACAGAAAAATAGAGAAGAACGGATACCGTTTAGACAGTTCGAGTCGTCTCCCACTCCCAAGCCTAATTCCAAATCCAATTTTCTGCCTGCCTTTATTCTATTCGCAGCTCCTATTTATAATACTTTGTTTACGGGCCGGCCCATAACTAAATAATACCAGGCCTAGACCCCCTTTAACATAATAACAAACTATGTAACATTATTTTATTATTATTATTATACTAATAGGTTCCTATCATGTAACTTTCACAATGGTCCGATGATTCGAAGTGAATACATCGAAAAAGAGCACCAAAAGTGCCATTACAAAATAATGAAATGACTAACTGTGAAAAAGCGTATCTGATCAATGACATGGTAATAGGAAATTCTCTGTTTATATGATTGTGAAATATGAAAATTCTAAACAATTGCAGAAGAATGGTAGCTAAGATTTGAGAGGTTACCCAAATGGAACTAGTTTGTACAGGACCATGATGGGTTGTGATGAGATAATTGTTGAAGTATTGTGGCACCGTAAGTCCCATGAAAATTGAGAATCCTAGTATGAACTTTGTCCTTAAGCTGTTGAGGTTGCAGTACTGAAGTAAACCAAGCCCACCAGAAGCTTTGATACCACATAAATAGATTCTTGAAACGCGTTAAATCTTTTTTAGGCTCTATCTAGTTTAAGCGTAATGAACCCTAAATATTACTCCCAATGTTTCTAAATAAACAGGCGATTTGAACAGGCCGAAAATGAAGATTAAGAAAATTATATGGCCAAAGTCTCTATAGAAGGAGAAATAATATGAACCATACAATCCTTTTTTAAAATGAAATGAGTGATAATTTTGGGTTGAACTGAAAAAAAGTGTAGATTATTTAGGGTCAAATGGTATATCAAGATTTGGTATTCTACACTAAAGCTCTTCATGAATGATAGAAGGAATAGTCTAATGATTTATAGTTTGGTTCTATCTGAGATCAATCCCTTAGAGTTGATAAAACTTACACATGAGAGGGAACAAGACACAGTAGATGGCTCCAACAATCGGTAATGGTATGGAGGCAACAACAGCGCCAAACTTTCCTGCTTATTTTCCAGACAAGTTAAATTTGTTTAATACATTTAAATTAATGTTAATCAGCTAGCTTTCCAACCTCATGATGTGGGACCATACTACTCTCACCTAGTACAGAAAAGAAGAGCATAAAAATGGCTGATATCTGAATCACCCTTCTACTCCCAACTCGTGTCAATGCAAGAAGACCTACATTTTCACTTAACAGGTGGAAACAAAAGCTACACTTAAGAAAGTCTATTGCAATTTTTGCATTGTTCATCATTACAGGAAACAGATCCGTATTGATTTAAAAGACGCGAGAAAGTTACTCCAAATCAATCTGGACCGTTCATGTAGTAGTTGCAAAGTGGAGTTCCAACATGTTTCAGAGCGAATGTTTTGTGCTTACATGGACACCGTCGATCCAATGCCTGTTCCCCATAAACCATCAAACAGAATTCCCATTCCCTGAATGACAAAACAAAGAGAAGATTAAAATGAAAGAAATGTAATAATGGCATCTGGTTTAGTGTGTTACCTACCAACCAGCCAATACCGCGGCTTATAACCGAAGGTGGTGGATGTGTGGCACTACCAAACCTTGCTGCTGCAACAAATGCCCCCGTAGACTACACACATACACAGTCAATCGACTAATGATCAATTACTTATTAAATCAGGCAGTCATTTTTCATACCTTTAAAGTTTTTTACTTGTCAATTTTTTTTTCTTTTTTGAATTTACGAAACAACATATATTACGAGGTTCCATATTAAAAGTCAACCTAGAAGTAGCCCATTTGTGAGTTTGTATCTTTCTATTTGATCGGTATGAGATAACTTGGACATCCCTACCCTAAACATGCTCATTAGTTATAGAGTTAGAAAGTCTCTCTTATATGATCCAATGACATGTAGGTAAACCAATTTTCCATAATAAGTCAGAATGATGAATTGGGATGGATGTAAACCTCAATTAGGGCAACAAAAGCTGAAGCTATCATGACAATAGTTTCTCCAGCTTTAACACTTGGAGTACCCCATTGCCATGGATGTGGAATTCTAAGCCTGCAAGTGAGTGAAGTCATCGGAACATACATAGTTGAAATAAGACAATATAAGAGTCGAGTTTAAAAAAATACAACCTAATGTGTGATCTCACCATGTTGAACCACTGATGAGCCCAGAGCGGTCTATACGACAACTAAATTGAGTCTGAGCTGGTCTATGTTTGTATGCCCCTACTGCGGTCAACAGTGCAGCAAATGCCCAAACTATCCCCACGGATATAAGCACGGCATATCGATCAATTCCAGGCCGGTTGGACTTCGACCATTGTGGAACATACTGTAATTTTTTTGGCAAAACACAAGTCAAAAACTTAGGTAACATCCACCAATTAAGATTAACTCCAAATCTATAATCTTTTAGCCTAATTGCTTTATGTGTAAGAACTAACTAATGGCAATCATTAATGTCAGAACCAAACATATTCATAAAGTGAGCTAGGCAGCTGAGAAACAAATAAAAACCACATTTGTTACCTGAGAAAGCAATATTAGGAAAATAATCTCTGGGAGCCCAATCTCTACACATTCTGCTAACTGCAACAAACAGAATAAAACACAACATAAATTCGTCGCAAGCGTTTTCTTTAATTCCACATCAATATGATATTGTCCGTTTCGGACCAGTTTTAGACCAATTTTGATTTTGGGGACCTCCTAAAAGAACTTATACTCGCACAGTTAGGTCGACACTTATATTCAAGATGGTTCTCCTTTATTTTGTCAATTTGGAACTCAGGTTGCTCCTTAAGTCCTTAATGTTAGGACACTTTAACATCCAAGGGCAGGTCAAGCTTAATTATTACATGTAGCGCGTATAGTTGAAGTTAGATTACCAATGGGAAACCATGTTCATACAGCCCAAAGCCGACAAGTGTTACCAAAGGAACAGCAGAAAGAGGACTCAAGAACCTACATCATATTACCAAATTTGCACAAGGCTGAATTTCTTGAAAAAGGAATATATTGGGTTCCAACTATAATCAAATGCTTGTGAAGAAAAAATTGCTCACCTCACAATAATTCTCCATAGCCCCAGAAATCCAATTAACATGGGAAGAATAGATGCAATAATAAGAGCCCCTTGCATCGCTCTCATCGTTTGTTTAAACCGCTTAAAATCCATAACCAAAAAAAGGTAAGAACATGAACTTCAGATACAAAATTCAGATGTTAGATTCCCTCATCAGAATATCGTAAGATCGCAGGAACATGAGTTCTAAAGTCTTTGGGTTGAAACATTATATTTGACTGCTACTAAAACACAAGATCTACATTATATGTCCATATGTCTTTGTCTAACAAAATCAAAGAGCGGAAGAATATGTCAACAACCTCGCGAGGATCAGAATATGAATTGAATCTATCAGACAATGCCACATATATGACTGGAATTATGAATCTGTACGAGCCACCAATCACAACAGGAAGACGGGATCCTAACCAAGTTTGCAGCAGTGTGTTCACCCCAGCAACAAAGAGCAAAGTTTGTACCAATTCAGCTTTCTCTTTCTGTTAGACAATTAGCCCATAAACTGTGAGCAAATGCATATGGACATGAATGTAACCATAACAAAAAACAAAAATGGCAGGGGCAAAAAACATACATTAGTGCCTCCCATTTGAGGAACAATAATCGTGGGGATGATAACAGTAGTCCCTAGCATGACCAGATAGTGCTGAAACCCAAGAATGATACACTCCACTGCATTAATGCCAGGATATACAAATTATGCATTATTCATCAAAGTCTGTCTTTACATACAAGAAATTAAGAATTATATTGTGCAAAATCCATATCCAACTTACATAATTATAAAGGGGAACCCAATTTGTGGAGGCATTAAGCATAACCTATTAGTTAGTTCCACACAAAATCTTATCATCCTGTCATTTAGTCTTTACTTCTCCAAACTTGTAAGAGCATTTTAATATCTGTTTGGTGATGATTTGAAACCCATGTATTTTCTTCTTTATCCGATCATTTAAGTTAGTGAGAATGCATCCTAAAATGAAAAGAGGAGGTAACCAAGGAAGTCAGTTTGAATTTTATATTCGGTCGAAGTACATCAATCCATTATCAAATTTAAGAGATAAAATTTCACATGTAATACATTTTTGGAATAAATAATCTATACAAAGTTGATTTAATTTCGATTTATAATTATGAAATATACAAGCTGATCACATATCAGCTACCTAAACACAACATGATCAAATTAAAAAGACCATGTTGAAGGAGGGGAATTTGCTAATTGTGTAAATTGAAGACATGCACTGAAGAAACAGAAACTGATCATAGAAAGAAATGAGAACAAGAATGAAGATATGTCTGTAAGAATGTACTCCAGGAAGGGCTGCTGTTGAGACAGTAGAAGACTCCGGGGAGTTGATCTTTCACCGGATGTGGGACCAATTCCTCCTCCTTAGTCGCCGCCTTCATCTTTTTCTTCAGTTCAATAAAACCTATAGCAGAAATACTCTGTCTAAATTACCTTCAGATTTTCATGTTCATCATTCATGATTAATGCATGCGTTATGAATTTTTTTTCTGCTTCTGGTATAACTGATGATGAAAGCAAGAAGATGAAAAGATGGGAGAAAGGGATGTTGGAAAAGTTGAACCTGAAAGCCAGAAACCTTTTCGAATTCTCAGACTAAAAAAAGTGTAACCTTTTCTTGGAAACATATAAAGAATTTATTGTACCCACTTGAAAAAAGTGAAGACTTTGTGAAGTTTAGATTGCTATAATTTCAGAGAAGAGCTTGATGATACCTTTAATCTGCCTCTCTATCTTTGCAAGAGAGAGTAGAATTTGGTTTGAGCTTACTTCAACAAGAGTGGTGTTTGTACTGCATGAAATGTTTTTATATTTTTTAAGTCAAATGTTGTTGTTGTCCTTTTGTCACCAAATTTCCATTAGTTCATGTGTTTCTTTCTGAGGAAAGGCAAATCGGTTACTTGGTTGGAATCACCGAATGATGTAACAGGAGTTGGCTCCAAAAAGTTAATTAAAGTAAATCAACTTATCCATTTTGTTAATTAATATATACTAGTAGAAATTTCTTAAATAACACTAAAAAAAGGACAAAGTTCATAAATATAACTATTACTTTCAAAATAGGATTTATATATTAGCTGTCACCTTATATTGTTCTAATCTAATTGTTTCTGTAATAGGACTAAATATATTTTATTTAAAGAATAAAATATATTTAATCCTATTTTTGAACTTTATATATGTTAGTCCTTTCAAAAAAACTTTATTTATGTTAGTAATTTAATTTCGAAATTATAAATTACTGTATTTAAGAGCAAAGACCTATATTAAGAGGCAATTCTATTAACATATACTACGTATAAAAATAAATAATCAAACTCACCTTTTATCTTTCCCCACCCCACAATTTTTTCATCTCTCTCACTATCTCTCATAGTGGAAAACTCCGGTCACGGGAGAGGAGCCAAATTCCTCATAAACGGGCTAAGCGGCCGCAAACCATGTGTTGGGTTAATGGCCCAACACGGGATCGGCCCATTATCCCCTTGAACGAAGAGCCTCAAGGCCCAACAGGCAAGGAGCACCAGACACTCGTCGCCAGACCCCAAAAGCCCACCAGGGGCGATTATCCACAACAGCCAAAGGCACCATCGATGCCCGTCTCCTGAGGGGACGCTCGGCCTCAGGGGCCTTGGCCCTTAGTACTATCCAGTGCACTCCGGCATCCAGAGCCAATGGACACGCATGATACGCTCGGCTTCTCCCCCTTGCATAACCAAGAGAGAGCCCAAGATTCTAATCCAGGGGGACGCTCGTCCTACACCCTTGGCGGAAAACCAAGATTCTGGTGGGAACCACATTCAATGCTAAAGATTTGGTGGTTGGGAGCCTAGCCATCCACAGCCCTCCACGTCACCATGTCTACCTACCTCTTGGTAGTATAAATAATAGCATTCATTTTATTGTAAAGGGTTGACAACTTATTCTCCCTAGCATTCTAGCTCATAGCTTTAGTCTTAGCTCTTACTCGGCGAGAAAGACGATCGACCTCAGGCCAAGTAGCGATAGTGTGTTGCATATGGATCGTTATTACCACTTAATAAGATACGACACATTGCTGCAGATATACTTTAGCCCATTTTACTAACACACTTCCACTTGAAGTCCTTGGGTTACGTGTTGGGCCCCCGAGATTGAAGGAATAAATCTCAACCCTGGTGCCGTATGTGGGAAATTGAATTAAAAGCTTCCAGAAAAAGCTCACCAAACAGCTCCTTTACGAACTTTCTCTAAGCAAGCAAGATGGCGGGAAACAACAACCAGCAGACACGTGACATCTCTGACCGGCTGGCCAGTAGCCGGAGGTCACGAGGGCAGACCACCGGACGTTCTGAGAGTGTGTGGTCTGCGGGGGTGGTGGCGAAATCACCAATCTCACCCCCAGGCATCCAGGCAGGACCCTCGGGTCATGAGGGAGCTGGCAGAGACCATGTGTCACATAGAAGACGAGCAGGAGGTTCATGAGCGTGTGCACTCAGTGAACTCCTAGCACACGCTCCTCTCCCCCATCCGTCAAATGCAGCCATTTGAGGAGCGAATGGAAGAATCCAATGGCCGCCGCACATCAGTCCACACACAGATTGGCGGAGCGCTCCCTTCCCAAGACATGGGGGCCAAAATGGGGCAGACGCTCCCCAGCAAGGGAGGCAGAATGATACACGTGCCCACACACCGAACATCCCCCACAACCATCAGAGCAGGTAGCTGACCCCTGCAGCGAGTAACGTGGGACAACGCTTCCTGAGGCAGGGTGCCCAGATCATCCGTCGATAGCACGACACAAATGCTGCCAGAACAGATGTCGTCTTCACGGCAAGCACTCCTGTGACTCCAGAAATGGCCGCAGAGGAGGCTAGGGTCGAAGCAATGGAGAGGCGAATCGAGGAGCTGAACAGACGTGCGGAGAATAGTCCGACACAGTCGCACATCTCACTCACTCCCCCATTCTCCCCCAGGATCATGATTGCGGAGATCCCGTGAGAGTGTCGACCACCAAGTTCGTTGGTGTACAACGGGGTCGGGGACCCCAAGGCCCACCTGATTAGCTTCCAAGACAATCTCACCATGCTTGGAGCATTTGACGATACCATATGCAGACTTTTCTTCGGCACCATTCGGGGGCCAGCACAATAATGGTTCGGGCAGCTAAGGCCAGGAACCATAGACAACTTTGAGCAGCTGTCTAGGCAATTCATGGCGCAGTTCGCGTCCAGTTCGATGCCCAAGAAGCATTTCAGCTCACTGACGAGCGTTCGACAGGGCAAGGGTGAGCCCCTGTCCGCGTTCCTCATCAGGTGGAGGGATGAGACTTTGAAGGCTGAGGACCTAGATGAGAGCACGGGCGTTACGCTCTTCACTAATGCTCTGACCACCGTTGACCTTTCCCGCAACCCGAGGAGGAACCCGGGGACGAACTATGCTGAAGTCCTGACGCGTGCGCAGAAGTATGCCATGGTTGAGGAAGAGATTGCCCAGAGAGACGGGGCACCAGCCGCGACCCGCAAAATGTCGGACCGGTCGGGCCCAGGACCGGGGGATTCCCCACAATGAAGAAGAAGAAGATGAGCACTGGATATGCCCCATGGGTAGCACAGGGCCATGCTGGCGACGCTCGGCCGGATGATCCCAGATACACCCCTCGTGCGTTCTTGGTGGCCCAGATATTCGAGGCCATTAAAGACAAGGGGATGCTCGAACGGCCGAGGGACACCAAGGGACCGATGGGCAATCGCCCCACTCCTTACTGCGAGTTTCATCGCAAGAACGGCCACAACACGAACAGCTGCAACAGCCTCAAGAAGGCAATTGACGAACTGATCTGGAGGGGATACCTCGGGGAATTTGTGGCGGAGCCGACGCCCCAGAACCAGATGCAGCCATACAAGAAGTCGGGCACTTGGCGTCGGGATGATCGGAGAGAGTTTGAACCCAAGGACATAGATTATCGCAATGCCGATAAATGCCCTGAGGGCTCCCTCGGGCCGAACGGCAGCAAGAAGAAGCTGGAGATCAAGGTGATCTTCGGTGGAGCCGAGACCGGGGACACCCCGATAGAGCGGAAGAAGTTTGAGCAGCCCCTATATGTGGGTTCCGTGTCCACACTCCCCATGAAGAGGAGTAGAATTGAGCCCATCACTTTTGGGACAGCAGACTTACCCAGCTCCCCGACACCACAAAGGGATGAGCTGGTCATCAGCATGGACGTGAAAAATGACATTGTACGGCGGGTCCTCATCGGTACAAGAACCAGTGTGATCGTCCCGTATTGGGACATGTTCAAAAGGATGAACCTCAGGAGAGACGAGTTGACTCCTCTGCGAACTCCCCTAGCTGGCTTCACCGGAGACTGCATTGATGTTGAGGAAACCATAACCCTCCCAGTAGAGATCGAGGATGGGCAGCACTGTGCGGCGATTCACATGACCTTCATGGTCATCCTCCTCAAGTGTACCCACACTGCCATCCTCGGCAGGCAAGGTTTGGAGGACCTAGAAGCGATTTGCTTCGTGTGGCAGTCGTGCATCAAATTCCCCACAGAGACGAGGGTGGGAGTCGCTCGCACTGACCCGCACACATCCAGAGCGTGTTATCATGAGGCTATGAAGAAGGTGAATGACCGCGACATGCGGGTCAAAAGTATTGCTAAGACCGCTCGGCAGGCAGACATTGTGTCCCGACCTGAGCCAGCAACATTGCTTGAAGAGGTGGAGTTAGATGACCCCTCAGACAGGAAGGTATCAATCGAGGCTGACCTAGAGCCCGAGATCCGAGAGGGGTGATCTTCATCCTCCGGAAGTATAAGATTCTTTTTGCCAGAGGTCCGGAGGACATGCCTGGGATAGACCCGAAGATCATATGTCACACGTTGGTCGTCTGTCCAGCAGAAGAAGAGATACATGGCTGCTGAGTGGCGAGATTTCATCAAGATGGAGGTCACCATGCTGCTCGGCATCCACCACATCCGGACGGTCATCCACATGGAGTGGTGTCCAACGTTGTGCTGGCTCCGAAGGGCCCCACTTGGCGGATGTGAGTCAATTATTCAAACTTGAACAAGGCGTGTCCTATGGACCCCTACCCCGTGCCGAGGATTGATCTGTTGGTCGATGAAAAGGCAGGTTGTGAGTTGTTTAGCTTCATGGATGCCTTCAGAGGTTATCTTCAAGTTTTCATGCATCTGGACGATGCTAAAAAAATGCCTTTGTCACGTCGAAGGGCGTGTACTGCTATATTGTCATGCCATTCGATCTCAGGAACACAATGGCAACATTTCAAAGGATGATCGAGATATTGTTCAAGGATGTCCTTAGGAAAATCATGGAAGCTTACGCGGACGATATCCTGATCAAAACCAAGAAAAAGGAAGACCGCATCCATAACATGGAGAGGGTCTTCGAGACCATGCAGGGGGGCCAACATGAGGCTGAACCCGAAGGAGTGTGCCTTCGCTCTCAAGGACGACAAATTCCTTGGTTATATGATGAGCGAGCGAGGGATTGAGCCCAACCCGGGGGCCAGTTGCAGCACGGCCCCGTGAGCCGAGCTGAGGACCGGTGAATAGATGGTTGGATGAAAACCGGGGGGCTCCGGATCCGGTCAATCGACCGTGGATGAGGAATGGAACCGTCCTTGATCGAATCACCACAGGCCAGTACAATTCGGCCCCGTGGGCCGAGCTGAGGACTGGTGATTAGATGGTTGGACGAATGGTTTGAGGCCCCGAGGTCAAATACACCAGATACGATCTCCGTGCGGTGCAGTATCCTTTCAAAAGCA